TAGGCTGCATTGCTAATTGGCTCTTTGGTTATTCCCTAAAATTATTGCTCTCTGACCAGCCATTAGTTCTTTGGTTCTGATTTCAATTCCAATTAGGGTTCCTGTTGCAGAGGGTTAGTTCTAAAAGATGCCTATATACTAAATAGTATCATAATTCATAATTGCGATGCTGGCCATCTGTGCATGCATCGTGCTATATTTTCCACCTGTAATTGGATGTCCTTCAAATATTGGCTGCTTTTCATCGCCATGTCTTTGTGGAGTGTACACTTGTGTTGAACAAAATTTACAAAAATTCATGGAATCATGTAGCAATGTTCTTTTTCCCATAATTTAGTCTTGGCTGTTTAAAACTTGAAATGAGTGCATGGTTCACGTGTTTAGATATTTGTTGTTTTGGTTCATGTAAAATCAGACATGCCTGTGAAGCTTCACTTTGTTTCCTTTTCATAGTTTCTTTACATTCTTGACATCGTTTTATTCCCTTATTTTTTTAGAGTGTCTTGGTGGAACCCACGAGTGGAAACACAGGCATTGGCCTTGCATTTATAGCTGCAACTAAAGGATATAAACTTATCTTGACAATGCCAGCTTCAATGAGTTTGGAGAGAAGGGTTCTTTTAAAGGCATTTGGAGCTGAGCTTGTTTTGACTGATTCAGCAAAGGGAATGAAGGGAGCAGTTCAGAAAGCTGAAGAAATATGCAACAGTACTCCAAATGCATACATGCTTCAACAGTTCGACAACCCTGCTAATCCTAAGGTGTCTTGGCTTCCTATCTCTACTCTGTTTATTATTTAACACGGGTCGTTTTAGCATCTATGTTATTCGGCCACTTGCATTTGCATTTACTGCCAGGTTTCAGTTTTGGTTTTCTTTCTTTGTCTTTTTGTAATTGTCATATGCCTACACAAAAGGCCAGAGAATTCATGTTAGTTTCGTTTTACATATCCATAGTGATGGTGGACGTGGTGTTTATATCCTGTCCATGGGAATATTTGTACAGTGCTGACCTGCGGCCCAAATTTTGTTCATTATATGTCAAAAAGCAGAATAGTGCTTTGCTTAACCTTGGAAAGAACATTGTGTAGCTTAACCTTGGAAGTATATGGAGTTGGAAAATTGGATCATATTCAACTCAAATCCCAGAGATATTCACATGAAAGAGAAAATTGTCTCTTGGTAGATTATTTTTCTTCTTAGATAGTAGATACGTTCACTTTTCTTTTATCTGTTATGATCATTTGCTTCGAACTTTACTTTTTTTGGCATCCAGAAGCACGTGAGTTTGACCTTTGTCACCTTTCCATAAGGATAGCAAATTGGCAGAGAGATCTTCTAACTAGTTGTAGTGTGATGACATTCTGGCTTCCAGTACAGTTAGATGTCTATATTTATATTGGATGTTCTATATGCAGATACACTATGAGACAACTGGTCCAGAGATCTGGGAAGATACAAAAGGCAAGGTGGATATATTTGTCGGAGGAATTGGAACAGGTGGAACCATTTCTGGTGTAGGACGGTTCCTTAAAGAGAAAAATCCTAAAGTAAAGGTATGTTGTTTTTCTGATTCACAGTTTCCAAGACATACACGCAAACATCCTGACCAACCAGGATCTGATAGCTTCACCTTGAATGTGTCAATTATAAGGAAAAGTTAACTTGAATCAGATCCTGGTTTATATCTGTATTGGCTGGAGGGAAAATTGTTTTTAAACAGAGGATTTTTCTTCATTTGCATTCCTTTTCTTTTTCGCCGTCTTTCTTTGTTTTCCATTCTGTTATTTATGTTTCCACCATCTGATCTTAAAAATTAACAGATTATTGGCGTAGAACCAACGGAAAGCAACATCCTTTCAGGGGGAAAGCCAGGTAAGATAGTAGAGCAGCATTCTGATCATCTTAATGCAGTGTTTTTTAAAATATTATGTCATTTGTTCGTTAATTACATGCTTGCTTACTATTCATTGTCGAAAATGTAGGTCCCCACAAGATTCAAGGGATTGGAGCTGGATTTATACCTAGAAATTTGCACCAGGATGTTGTCGATGAAATTATAGAGGTCTAAGATCTTATTCCAACTCAATCTAGTTACATTATCCTTATATGAAAGCAAACTTTCCAAGTTACACAATCAATTGTGCTTACGTTGACGTTTGCAATACAAATCATGTTTACGCTGTAATTGATCCTATCAAATGTTATTTTTCTTGTCATTTGTCTATGTATCATTAATTACATCAGGTCTGTTTGGAATTGCTTTCTAGTTTTTTCTCACAGATAGTGATCTTGGCAGATCTCAAGTGATGAAGCTGTTGAAACTGCAAAGCAATTAGCACTCCAGGAAGGCTTGTTGGTACATGTTTTCTACTTTTCATCTAAATTTATATTTAGACGAAGGAAAAATTAACTTAATCCTCATTCTTGGGTGTTGGGATTAATCACCTCAAGTGGGAGATCACATTTTGGACGATTACATTAAAGGGATGCCTTTTTTCCACACATAGGTTTTAGATTACAACCGGAGAAGAATTGGAAGCACATTTTCGACGATTAGATTAAAGGGACACTTTTTTGCACACATTTCAGCACATTTTAGCACATTCGGTCGACGACATGAAACCTTTTTCATTGTCAATGGAGCAAAAATGAACTTTCTTTCCTCAACCTCTCCATCTGCGATATTCTTTCACAGCCCATGAATGAAACCAAGTAGGGAAAAAGTCCATGGAGTAGAATGTAGAGTTGAGATCCAATTTCAGAATATTTTCTAATAATTATTTCGTATCAGGTTGGGATTTCTTCAGGAGCAGCTGCTGCTGCTGCAATCAAGGTTGGTAAGAGGCCAGAGAATGCAGGGAAGCTTATCGCGGTATATCATCCTCTCTCTATTTTCTCTTAAAGTAATTCTTTTTGCATAGAATTTACATACTGCAAGTTGGGAAGATATAAAAGGTGTTCATTTTAGATCACGCACACACAACATTATACCAAGTGCAGAAGATTGCGTAGGCTCTAGAACTTATATCCTACAACTGAGGTGGGACTATGAAAATGTAAGACTTTTTCTTCGAATTTTTTCACATGAGATGGCTTGAGATGGTTTCACTGGATGCATAGTTCCTACAATTGTTGCTGGCTCTTATATTAGATTAGATCTTGTCCAGAAAAAGAGGCCATAGATCTTACTTAGCTTGTCACAAGAGGTCTGTGGAATTCATGTGGAATCAAAACTAGGGAATTCCCACAGGAATTAATTCGATTGTGCACGTGGCATCTTACTTTTTACCAGTTTGGTAAAGGGGACAAAAGTCACTCCATGTTTGGTATGAGTGCTTGTTGGTTGGATTCTATGCAGTCAAGGTAAAATCTCACTCATGGAGTATAGAAGCATGATATAATGACGGACTGGTAGTCCTGGTTGTTCACACTGTCATTACTTTCTCGGGCTGTTTGTTGTCTGACCTGTGCGCACTCAAAACTATATTGCTTTCAATTCTTTGTGTATTAATGCACTTGAGAATTTGACTGCTTCCAGGTAGTCTTTCCGAGCTTTGGTGAACGTTATCTCTCCACCATTCTTTTCCAGTCCATCAGAGAAGAATGTGAGAAGATGCAACCGGAGCCATGATTTCCCTGCTGAAGCAATTTTGTGACAGCGATGCACACTGTTTATCCCGGAACTTTCCTTTCATATTTTCCCGTTCACACGTTATTTCTTTCTCCGTAAATCTCCTTGATGTACTCCTTAGAGATAGGATCAATGGTATAAGAGTGTCCATTTGGTGGCCCGGTTGCTTGACATGAATATTTTGAAATACTCAAGATGGAGAAGAATTTGCTGGTGTTGCTTATTTGAGGGCACACCTGTTAATTCATTCAATCAAGTTCCATACTTCTATTTTTTTTTTTTTATTACATCTACATAAAGGCAAAAGAAATAAAACTGCATTTTTCAATGTTTAGAATGGCCATGAGGTTTCAATTTCCTCATTAAATTGATGTCTAATTCTTCATTAAATTGATGAGTTTTTAGTCAAACTTGGTACAAATGTGGCTTATATATCCACCTAAATTACGAGTTTCACGCTCACCATGTAATCAATTTAATTAAAATTTAAATAATTTGTTGGGAAAAAGGCATAAATAGATAAAGTTTTAAAATCTAATGTGAAAAAATTAAAATCTCATGATTCAAAACAATCCCAACTTAAAAGGGCGTAAAATGTAAGCCCCAATAAAAACAAAGTTTAAGTTTGGCCTGTCTGGGGTCCCGCTGTCGTCCAAATTATACGCTTTACTTCCCAGACTTTACAAAGGCTTTGTGTTTTAAATTTTGCTACTCAATTTAGCCTTTTAGCAATTATATATATTCAATTATTTGATTGATGGCAAGTGGCTTTTTATTACAGTAGTGGAAAGGAGTTGCACATTTACATGACGGTGTGAGTTCGAATCCGTCGATAATTAATATAACATCTAATCTAATAAAATTTATCGTATACGTATTCATTATACTTCCGAAAAATTTCAATTTATGATAGTCTTGCTAAAGTTTTCTATTCTCCTTCCACTTCTACAGTTCTACTCACCCACTCTACTTCAATTCGAAACCAAGTCACGTACCTAATAGTCCTTTTTGCCTCTTCTGGTGTGGTGGCAATAATAAGGAAAAAAATTCACAAATAGAAAAACGTATATTATTTTTCAATTTAAACCACAATGGTAAGCGACAATTATATTACCGTTTAGTGATATTTCACTTGTAAATTATAAGTAAGATATTGTGGTTCAATTGTTATGAATGACGAGTTCAATAGCAATTCATTTTTCGATCCCGTAATATAATATCGTTTGCTTGTGTAGAAAAATAAAATGACGCAACGGCACCGTTTCGGGTTCTTTTTTTTATTTTTTATTTTTTAACCGGTAGTTAAATAGTCGTTGGCTCCCGGGTGAACCCGCCAGCCAGCCTGGTTAAAGTGGGGTCGGGCGGCGGTGTGAAGCTCTGGTTCTTACACGCAGAAGCTGGAAGAGTAGAGATGACTATTCTCATCGAGTCAACCTTCTCTCTGTCTTCATTTCTTGCTACAAATATCAAATTTAATTTTTCTCTTCCTTTTATTTATTTATTTTTTCTTGTTGGTATTTGCTGCTGTTGTTCTTCTCTTTAATTTCTTGCCTTTGGGTTTTTGGCTTTTGCTTCTTGTCTCTCTCTCTCTCCTCTCTTTCTCTCTCTCCCTTTTCCTCAGATCATCAAACTTCATACTTTCACACTGCACCATCATCAACAACCACATATTACAATAAAAGAAAACCCCAATTCCATTTCTTTTATTTTTCATTTTAATGAAAAAGAAGAAATTATCTGATTTTTTGATCCATGGACGAAGATGAAGTTTGTATTTGCTCATGCTTTCCTCAACCCCTATTCAAAATTTGTCTGCAATTCTCAGACCTAAATTAGAACACCATCTTTGGCCACCACAGCTCCATAACTACTCAAAGGTATGCTCTTCTTTCCTTTTCTTGTGCCTTTTTCTTGGTAATTTAGTTTAAAGCATAAACCTTTTGCTAAACTTAATAGTTGGGCATGATTTTCATTCATAAATATGTAATTCGCTTATCTAATCTTATCTAATCTAATCGAAACCCTGATTTGCGCGGTGATCAATCTGTCTCCGCCTCGGCCCTGTGGAAGAAACCAACATAAAGATCATTAATTTGCAGTTTCTTAGACCACATTCTATCTGGGTTAAGTGTTGTTGTGCTTTATCTTATCGATCCAGTACTCTTATTGTGTTTTTACTTTAGTTTGCTCCCTATTTCTACCGCTTGTCGTTCAAGTGGGAAATGCAAATATTGGATTTTGCAGCTTCTTCCTGAGAAGCTGACATCAAGCTGTTGGCGTTTCGTCCAACACCTGGATTTTAGAGATTCCACATATTCGTTTTGATGATCTGCCGGATATAGGAAATTTTGAATGTTTGATTCTGACCTCCAGTTCTTAGTCAAACATGATAATTTGCTCCAAATGTGCTGCTCTAGTGTATCTTACTGACCCAATCTAGTATAATTTGTATAGAACATTCGTGCAATGCAACTCTTGCAGTATACTGCACATCCAAAGTTAAATCCTTTTTGCATTGAAATGGAGTTAGAAAACAGTTCAGTTCATTTCCCATACTCTTTGAGCGTGTTCATTTTGGTTCTCGTTTGATTTTAGAGCTGATTCGGATTTACCGCTAGTTTGTGATTGTTGGTGTGCTGTTCTAACCGTATGCTGTATTACTTTGTTGCAGTAGGAGGATTTAGGTCAGATGGCTGAAAGTTGGCATGGAAATTATGACACCGGCAGTCCATCAGATGACAGCCATAAGTTTGAGCGATTGCACATCGAGCCTATTTATGATGCATTTTTTTGTCCTTTAACAAAGCAAGTTATGCGCGATCCTGTTACCTTAGAAAACGGCCAAACATTTGAGCGAGAAGCAATTGAAAAGTGGTTTAGGGAATGCAAGGAGAGTGGAAGGAAGTTGGTCTGCCCACTGACACTAAAAGAATTGAAAAGAGGTGATCTAAAGCCTAGCATAGCATTGAGGAACACCATTGAAGAGTGGAATGCCAGAAATGAAGCTGCTCAGCTTGATATGGCTCGTAAGTCATTGAATCTGAGCAGCTCAGAAAGTGAAGTTCTTTTGGCCTTGAAGTTTGTCCAGCAAATCTGCCAAAAAACAAGATCAAATAAGCATGTTGCACGCAATGCAGGGCTGATACCTATGATAGTTGACATGTTGAAGAGCAGCAGTCGTAAAGTAAGGTGCAAAGCTTTGGAAACCCTTAAAACTGTGGTGGAGGATGATTCCGATAATAAGGTAGTCCTAGATTTTTGTGTTTCTCTTTTCATTTTCCATGAAATTGCTATTTCTAGGGCCTCATACTAATATTTGTTTGGTTGTAGGAAATATTGGCTGATGGGGATATAGTACGAACTATAGTGAAGTTCTTGTCTCATGAGCAATCCAAAGAGAGGGAGGAAGCTGTCTCTTTGCTGTATGAACTATCCAAATCTGAAGCCTTATGTGAGAAGATTGGTTCAATTAATGGAGCGATTCTTATTTTGGTGGGAATGACAAGCAGCAAATCAGATAACATTTTGACTGTTGAGAACGCTGATAAAACATTAGAGAATCTGGAGAAGTATGAGAACAATGTGAGACAGATGGCTGAAAATGGTAGACTGCAGCCTCTTCTGACACAAATTCGTGAAGGTACTTGTACTTTCTCTTATCTTTACACTTAGCATGTTGCTAGAAGTAGGACAACCAAACAGCCAGTGCTCTTTGATAATTTATTTCGCACTACATGTCCTGCAAATATGGTAAACATTCATTTTTGTATTTATTTTTTCATAGACAAAACAAAAAACCGTTCTAACTGCAAAATTGAACTATTGTATTTTCTGCACCTTGCTTAGCGTCTCCAGTCCACCGCAGCTTGCATGATTCTGCTGAGTGTTTGATCCAAGACGAGTTTTCCTACTTATGAGACAACTATCCATTCGTTATTTTTTTAATAATTAAATGTAGCTGTCCCGCCTATGACTTCTTGGTCTAAACTCGAGTACAGATTAATTTTCTCTATCTCCACCTCTGATTATTGTAGTTTATGGGGGGCTTTACAATTTAGTGGACTGTTGGTATTAGTTTGATCTATACTTTTCTTTTATTGTTTCAAACGAAGATATTTTTATCTCTCTCAAAAATTAAAAAAAATAATGTTGAGCATAACTCAAATTTCCTTGCTGATATGATTGCAGGCCCTCCAGAAACCCAACTTTCGATGTCTAATTTCCTTGGTGAGTTAGTTTTGGACAATGATGTAAAGGTCCTAGTGGCTAAAAGTGTGGGTTCAGCTTTGATTAACATCATGAGAAGTGGTGATATGCAGTCAAGAGAAGCAGCTTTGAAAGCTCTCAACCAAATTTCATCTTGTGAGGCAAGTGCCAAGGTACTGATAGAGGCAGGAATACTTCCGTCTCTGGTCAAAGATCTCTTTTTCGTTGGGACTAACCAGCCTATGCGACTGAAGGAGGTTGCTGCAACAATTCTTGCTAATGTTGTTAGCACAGACTATGATTTTGATTCCATCTTGGTTGGACCCGATCAGCAAACGCTAGTCTCAGAAGACATTGTCCATAACCTACTACATCTCATTAGCAACACTGGACCAGCAATCGAGAGCAAGCTTCTCCAGGTTCTTGTTGGACTCACTAGCTCTCCTTCAACTATTCTGAGTGTTGTTGCCGCCATTAAAAGCTCAGGTGCCATTATTAGTTTGGTGCAGTTTATTGAGGCTCCACAAAAGGAATTACGTGTGGCTTCCATTAAACTTCTCCAGAACCTCTCTCCACATGTGGGCCAGGAGCTAGCTGACGCCCTACGTGGCACAGTGGGCCAACTTGGAAGCCTAATAAAAGTCATATCAGAGAATATTTCAATCACTGAAGAGCAAGCAGCAGCCATCAGCGTCTTAGCTGAACTACCGGAGAGGGATCTAGGCCTTGCCAGGCAGATGCTAGATGACGGTGCCTTTGAGCTGGTACATTCTAAAATAGTTAAGATCCGCCAAGGGGGGAGTAGGGGTGGCCGCTTTGTGACGCCATTTTTAGAAGGACTTGTACGAGTTCTAGCCAGGGTTACACTTGTGTTGGCTGATGAGCAAGGTGCAGTTTCTCTGTGCCGTGAACTTAATCTTGCTGCACTTTTCATTGAACTTCTACAGTCCAATGGACTGGAGAATGTACAGATGAGTTCGGCAGCAGCATTGGAGAATTTATCACAAGAATCCAAAAATTTGACAAGATTGCCCGAGTTGCCTACACCTGGTTTCTGTGCTTCAGTTTTTTCATGTTTTAGCAAGCCACCTGCCATAAACGGATTGTGTCGGCTTCATCGTGGGACGTGTTCACTTAGAGAGAGTTTTTGTCTCTTGGAGGGACATGCTGTGGAAAAGTTGGTAGCTCTTCTGGACCACACAAACGAGAAGGTGGTCGAAGCAGCACTTGCAGCACTCTCTACTCTGTTGGATGATGGGGTTGATATCGAACAAGGGGTTATGGTGTTGTGTGAGGCAGAGGGGGTGAAGCCTATTCTTGACGTGTTGTTAGAGAAACGGACAGAGAATCTGAGGAGGAGGGCAGTCTGGGTAGTTGAAAGACTATTGCGGAGTGATGAGATAGCCTATGAAGTTTCTGGAGATCCGAACGTGAGCACCGCACTTGTTGATGCCTTCCAGCATGGTGACTATCGAACCCGGCAGATTGCTGAACGTGCCCTGAAGCACGTTGACAGGTTACCAAACTTCTCTGGTGTCTTTCCGAACGCATGATAGATATCTTCCCCGGTGGTTTTTATTGTTATAGTTTGCGAAGCTGCCATTGGAGGGGGGTATATATTTGTTGTATGCAGATTTTTCATTTGTTTTGAAAGAAAGCTGTTCATTTGTTTTTAAGGATGGTGGTGTCTCCATCTACTTGGGTTTCTGTTAATCAGCTGCATTTTTTGTACAAATTGTTAAGGAAAATTCTGTTATGCCCAGATTTCGATTCTGGAACACCCACTTCTTGAACACCTCTTTTTTTTTTTTTTTTTTTTTGTTTGAGTACATCGAATTTTTACACGAGCGGAGGGGAAGTTTGGCTAAGCCAAACAATGGAGAACCTAAATTCTTTTTTGATTTGTAAGGATTTGTATGGATTTGTATGGACAACTCCCACTTGTATTATAGATTTCTATGGATTTGTAAGGATTTCTTTCATGGATTTCTTAGTATTTCTTTTTTTACTCCTGCAACATAAATTCTTTTCTCGGTGCACAATCTAAAAAAGACATAAACATATATATATATATATTGATATGGAAATATAAACCAATCAAATATGTCTTTTCTTTCCCTTTCTCATTTGAATTGTGATTTTTTTACAAAAAATAATTTTAACTAACCAAAACAAGTAGTGCTTCGTAAATCAAATGTCTCAAAATTAACCCTTTTTCCTCAACAATTGATTAGTTCATAATGTGTTGTTTAGTCTAAGTACAGCTACCAATATAAATAGGCTTTGGAAGATGCTTACACCCTTACACTAACATGATTACACGAAAAAGAAAAGAAAGCTTGAATTGGCAATAAGATTCTTAGTAGTAATTTTCAAGAGTTCAATTAACATGTGTTCTATCTACAAGAATTGCTAGTAGCCATTAACACTTCCCATCAAAGCATTACAAGAAATACTATTACACAGTCCAAAATAAAGAAAATAAAAAATTTAAAAAAAATTGTAGTTTGCAACTGGGACTGTGACAGATGCACGTGAAAGGAAATCAAGTTGGCAGATTCTATGTCTGGAAGAAAATGGAGAGTGAGAAAGAAAGGTCGAGTTGTAGAATGGAGAGAGGGAAAGAGAGAGAGAGAGAGAGAGCGAGGGGGTTGAAAAGAAATCCTAGGGGTGGAGGTAGGATTTTGGTATGCTTATAATCCGAGCGAGGGGGTTGAAAAGAAATCCTAGGGGTGGAGGTAGGATTTTGGTATGCTTATAATCCCTTGTCATCCTACAAAATCTCTTATTGAAAGAAATCCTTCAAAATCTATGACTTTTTGAATACTTATAAACTTGCATGAACTCTATAAAAATCCTTTAAAATCCTAGTTGACTACATAGAATTCTAGAATCTTTTAAAATCATTTAATTGACTACCCCGGTATTTGAATTGATTCTTTTAAAATCCTAATTGACTATATCATGATTCTAAATTATAAGTCATTTAAAATCTTTTAAAATTTTCATTAGACCACACCCCCTTAATTTTTGACGGCATAATAATTTCATACATCACATCTTAAACATTGCAATATCATACATCAACTTAAAAATTCATTGCAATGATAGATCTTCGATAGTCAATTGTCAGACTGATTGCTAAGTGGTCGTGTGACAAAATAAACAAATTTGAAAGGAAATAAATTTTTATTTGAAAAGATTAAATAAAAAGAGTGGCCCCAATCCCCATGTGCAAGCCAGTCAGTCCTTCCTCCATTCATGAAAAAGGGGGTGGTGCAACATGCAAGATGGACCGACGACCTAACGGGCCTCTCTCTGCTCTGCAAATCTCCCTGCTTCCTCCTTCCAACGGTTAATCCACAAACCCTAGCTTTTCTATATATTTAATCCACAGCGCAGCTCCGACGTCGTCCGTCTCTATATTTTAACTTCCCTTCGGTCAGTTTTACAGTCTTTCTCGTACACTTTCCGTTCCTGTTTGGTTGGTTCCCGAGAAAAAGCGGGAAAAACCAAAAGACAACGCATGCATTGTAACTTCATTCGTACACGTTTCTCTTACGATTTTTTTTCTTGATTGATTGCCGCAGTTAGATTCGCCTGAGCATGGCTGTCAAATAGTACAGTCTATGGGTGGGTGTGCTTAGTATTCTTCAACTCCGCGATTCTGATTTCCGAAGCCGGAAGCGTTTACTGATCCCCGTAACGGTAACTATTCCGATCCTTTCTTTTAAATTCTTTATTTTCTTGGCTATTCTATATATATGGAGTAGAAGTTGATAAAGATCGTTGTTTTGAGTGTCCGTTCTGCTGTTTGGTCACCGAGAAAGTTTAGGAAAATTTGAAAATGGATTAATTGGAACCTAGAAACTCTCCTGTTCAGCGCGATTATATTGAAAAGGTCATGAAACTTGGATTATAATTTTTTCATTTGAGGATGGAATTTTAATCATCAAATTTAAGTGTACTAATGGTGCATTTGGACTCGTTAACTCTCACTAGATTGGATTGGATTGGATTGGACAACATGTAACCTTGTGTTTGTTACGTATATGGACCAAGTTTAATGGGATAAAACGGGACTCGCATGGATTCTCGTTCACTAGAAGATCTTAGCAAGACCACTGAATACCATGGGATTGCAAAGATCTTCGCTGCGTCTGCTCGCGTCGCATTCTCTCTCTCCTCTCTGCTCGCGTCGCCAACATCGCCTACACTTGCCAACCCAAAATCGCAGAGGGAGAACCCAGAATCTCGTTGTCTGCTCGTTTCAAATATCGAAGAACCCAAAATCAAGTCGCATCCCCTCTCTCCTCACTCTGCTTGCTACGTCTGCTTGAGGCGCCACCATCGCATACACTCACCAACCCAGAACCGCAAAGTATGCTTGTTTGGGTTCTTCTGATAATCCCTCCGTGGAGCCTCTGCAACCACATCTTCCATCTTCTACACATCTTCACAAATTCGCTCAAATCACAACACCCGAATTCATTGGAATTGCAAAACCCATATTCGAATCACGAAAGCGAAACCCAGATTCGAATCGCAAATCCCAAACTCGAAACGCAAATCCCAGACTTGAATCGCAAAACCAAATTTGTTTGAAGCACTGCACCATATGCACATCTTTGCAATCGTGAAACACAGATTTATGCAGAACAACTTAAGGAAAAAAAGAAGAAAAAAGGGATGTTATGAGAGAGTGAGTGTGTTAATCTGATACTCCATCTAACGCTTCAAAAAGAAGATTGTCATCGCGCAAGGATTAAGCAACTGGAATTCGATTTGTGAAATAAACCAGACAAAAAAAGATTAAGCACATAATTTCTCGTTCCGCAGACCACCAATGTTGAAAAAGAATCGGAATGGTCAACGGAAACTTACAGTGCATTGCAACAACCTCCTTAAGATTGACCAACTGTGGATCAATTTAGAAGTAATAGGATATCCACCATTCAAAATCAATAACAGCAGGAGGGACCAAATTCAATTGAATAGAGTTGCAACATATGAATACGATGAAGTGGGAATAATTAACAAAGACGTGAGATTTAAATTACAGAATCAATTTCATGAATGTTGGTGAACAAATTACATCCGAGACTACATAAGCGAGCGAATGAGCGAGCATACCGTATTTCTCCAATGGTCGGGGTTTTTATTAAGAATCTCCATTCAAATCTTTTCACCAGGATACAAAATGCTTTGCCCAATGGATTCAACACTGAACTTGATGGTAGCAGGTACGCCCAAAGTGCTCTTGAGAAGAGAGGGAGAACCAGAGCGTTGATGAATGATGATCATGTGTTGTGTGTAATACTTTGTTTCTGTGAGTTACAACGTACAGAGGACTTTACAGTCTTTAACTTACAGATGTAGCACAGCCATTGACTTGGTCAAGCACGAAGAGGCATCCAGCTCGCGAGTTACATGGTTCCTTGAGATATGACTCCATTTCATCCCCGTATCAGACACATCACATACAGTAAAAAAATCCAATACTTGACCAAATATTTTGAACATCTCAATACCGAATATCATGTTTCCGTCTGCCACAAACGCAGCATTCCAGTCCATTGGAGCATCGGGATGTACTGAGACCTCGGTCCAGTTAAGGTACATGAGATCCAGCTCCCATACCTTTCTAACAGCCTTGTTTCTCCGGCCTATCTGACCATCCCCTTCGCACCAGAAGACAGAAAGCATGAAGAGCCTGCCATTACAAGATACCAGTTTTGGGTAATATTCATGAACACGGGGTGGGAAAGGAGTGGTTTGGATTGCAATCCAGAAACCCCTTTCTATGTCATATCCTGCGAGCTTGTCAGTTTCAGAATAAATATAAAACATCCCATTACAAACAACCCCAGAACAAGCAATCCCAAAGTCCACAGGGAACCCTTGAATTTCTGTCCATTTCCTTGAAACAGAATCATATATTTCTCCAGAATCCAAAGGTTCATCCCAGGTGCCAAGACCACCAACAGCAACGAGCACAAACCTTCTACAACCCTTCATGGATGAGTGATCACTTTTTTGTTTCATAAATTTATACGACTTTCTATTGGGCAACACCAAAGACTCATTGTCATCAGCAGAATGTCTGTGTTGACGCCTAAGAGAAAGCCTGTGAGGATCTTCATAAACCTCTGAAACTCCACCTACCCGTGATCTGGGAATACGTCTATCTTGGCGACCTTGATAACTTTGACTGGTGGAAAAATCTGAAGTGACCTCTGAAACTCCTAAAATAGGCATTGATCTTGCATACTTCATTGGAGCAACTTTGCGCCAAGATTTTGTTAAGGGACTAAACAGCATCACCCCTTTGTGTGTCTTAAAAGAGCTCCTATCCACCCTCCCAAAGTTGTTCAAGCTTGAACAACCCCCAACAACATAAATATCATCCTGGACACTAGCAACAGAAAACATGAACCTTCCCTTCAGGATTTCAGCATTTATACTATGCCATTGATTTAGAGACATATCCAATGCATGTATCTCACCAGAGCAATAATCATCTTTAACAGCACCAAAATGAAACAACCATGGGGTCTGATGTGAGCCTTCCCGTCTCATCTGCAGGAACCGAGGAGTAGTAGTCAAGTGTTTCCATTTCTTGCACACAAGGCGTGCAGTCATGAGACTGGTTAGTGGGAGCCTCACCAAGCACATTTCCAGTACATCATCTGGAAGAAAAATGTGCATCCTGCTATTTATAATTGATTCTTCAAGCTCAAAATCCTTTCTGTTATGTTTCTTCCAAAATTTCTCCCTCACCCCATATGAGAAGCAATCCACTCCAGATTCCTCGGTACCACATATTGGTCTGTATCCCTTGCCTTCATCACTGGCACTTGACCTCCTCCTGTTACTTGTATCCCCAAAATCATCACATGTGTCAGCACCAACTTTGCAACCTCCACCCCTTCCATACAGAGTAAGACATCTCAAAGCTATTCCCCTCACACCA